ATAGATGCGTGAAATGTTCGAAATTTCAAAAATTGCATATTTGCAATAAGTATGCCTATATATGTCAGTTCAGTGAGTTTGATCAAAATTGATCAGGAAGAAGACAAATTTATGGAGCAGTGCGTGTCTCCCTCCCTCTTTAGTCATTGTGTAGTATGAGTGGGCTAAAGAACAAAAAAAAAGGACACTGGAACACAGTGCAACTAACAGCGATTTAGGGCTTTTCAGATGGTGCGTAAGAAAGGCACGAAGGGGAGCTTGCAATGAGAAATGAATTTCAGTCTGAACAAGACAAATCTGCTTGTCAAAACGTTTGCTCAAGCACCCACCTTTTGTTTATGAATTTCTCACTAATGATGTACATGCACTCAAACCTCGATATAACAAACATTGATATAATGAATTATCGTTTATAACAGAGTAAATGAAGAATAGCTCTATCATTGATGCAGTGCTACAAATATATGTTTATAACGAATTTTTGTCTATAACAAAAAAATTTTGTGGCACGTGTGACTTTGTTATAATGAGGTTTGAGTAGAAATTAAACCCCTTAAACGTAGCCCTGCCCACTACGTTTAAGGGGTTTAATTTCTGCTGTTTGTTCTGTGTCGCTAGATCTGTTGAGATGCGGGGATGTAGAGGCAAACCCAGGTCCTACAGAGCAGATGTTGTCAGAACTCTTAAATGGTCAGGCACAAATTACTGCCTCGCTTGACGCCATAAAGTGCTCTCAACTTGGAATCGAGAAAAAAATTTCTGATTTAACCCAGCGCATAGAAGGGGTTGAAGCACAGTTATCTGCTTTAGCTACCCTGACAAGTAAAGTACAAGGTATCGAGATTGCTATGTCAAAACGAGATGAACAGATTTGTATGCTTGTATCGAAAGTTGACGATCTCGAAAACGGATCCCGCAGAAATAACTTAATTATATATGGAATAGAAGAACCTGCTAGAGAATCTAACGAGGAACTACTGAATGAAGTAACAGAATGTTTTCAGAAAAACCTTGAGGTAACGACATCCGCCATTGAAAGATGCCATAGGCTTGGCCGTAAGGTTGGAAGTAAGCCACGTCCAATAATCGTAAAATTTCTAGATTATCGGGAAAAGACTTCTGTTTTAACGATTGCATTTAAGCTAAAGGGAACTACGATGTCTATTTCTGAGGACTTCTCTAGCAGGGTACGGGAAGTACGAAGAAATTTGTGGAAGAGCGCGGCTGAAGAAAAGAGAAATGGCGCAAAGGTTAAGTTAATATACGACAAATTGAGCATTGTTGACACCCTGTATGGTTGGAATGAAACCGAAAAATCGCGCTTTAAAATTCAAAAGAAGAAGGGAATCTGACGTCGTGATCCTGTATCTGAACCATTAAGAATCCTAAATGTAAATTGCCGAAGTGTGGTAAACAAAGCAACTGAATTAGAATTATTGCTTCTTACTCATGATCCAGACTTAATAACACTTACAGAAACATGGTTGCATAGTACAATATTTGATAGTGAAATAATTCCACCTGGTTATAGTGTGCTAACAAAAGATCGCGAAAGTAAAGGAGGAGGCGTTGCAGTCGTATTTAAGAAATGTCTCAAAGTAATTAGGATGCCAGATATTCCTCAAGTGGAAGGCTTATTTTGCAAAATGTACCACAATAATATTCAATATATTGTAGCTTCCATATACAGACCCCCGACCTCGTCCATTGAAGTCATCAATGAATTAAAAAAATATCTGTGCACTCATGCAAAGTCAGGAGCTCGGATAATTTTATCAGGAGATTTCAACCTACCAGATATGGATTGGACCTCTCTTTCAACTACTAAGCATAACGATATCGTAGGAGAAGCAATGCTCGACGTTGCTTTTACTTTTGATTTGTTACAAGTTGTTCACGATTTCACTAGGGTGCAGGGAAGTTCGAAGTCAGTACTAGATCTCTTTTTTGTTAGTGGATGTATTAAGTCTTCGGCCACCTGTGAAGTGGTTCCTGGTATTTCTGACCACAGTGCTGTACTATTGACCCTGGCAAATGGCTTTATGGCACGGAAACAAAAAGCGTCATGTTTTCGAAATTTTTTGCGAGCTGACGATACATCAATTATAGATCTCCTCTCCCTCAACTTCGACTCGTTTTTAAACAGTACTGCTGATGTGCAAGGCCACTGGGACTCATTTAAAGATTTAGTGAATGAATGTATTGATCGCTTCGTTCCATGTGTTGTTAAAAAGAAGAAAGAAAGGAACCCCTGGATTTCTCGGGACACGTTGCATCTCAAAAGGAAGCTAAAACGATTAAAAAAAAGCGTCGTAGTCTTGGGAATATCGCTGGTATAAACGAAGAGATTTCAGAAATTGCAACTAAACTAAAACACCAAATCCATATTGACAAACAGCTGTATTATGGTGAATCATTACCAAACTTCATTAAAACGTGTCCTGAGAGATTTTGGCGGAGCATTAAGCCTACATCTACTGAATGTAATGTTTTTGTAGTTGATGAAGTTGATGTGCATGATAGCAAGGTTATTTCGAATGCCTTTAATCAACAATTCAAATCGGTTTTCACCATTGACAATAATGTTCTTCCCTCATTCGATGCAGATTATCCACCTATACCTGACGTTGTTATCAGTGAGCACGGCATTCTAAATATGCTACTTAAACTTAATGTTAAAAAGACACCCGGACCGGATAGCATTCCAAAGGCATTTTTAAAGCGTTATGCCGAGTGGATCGCCAAATATCTGTATGTTTTATTTTCAAAATCGCTACACGAAGGTCGAGTACCAGATGATTGGAGGGCCGCCAGAGTCAAGCCTCTTTATAAGTCGGGTAAAAAGCAACTTACCTCAAATTATCGTCCTATTTCATTAACGTCAACTACCTCTAAGCTTATAGAACACATAATACATACGCATATCTCTGAGTATCTTAGTAAGCATAATATCTTAACAAAACACCAGCACGGATTCAGAAAAGGCTATTCAATCTGTACGCAACTTGTCGAGACAATTCACGATTTCGCAACTTCAATTAACAATGGGACACAAACTGACGCCATTTTTATGGACTTTTCAAAAGCGTTTGACAAAGTCTCACACAAGAAATTACTTTTTAAATTAGAGAAAACACTTAAAAATCCGCGCCTAATAAAATGGATAGCAGATTACCTTATAAACCGTAAACAATTTGTTGTTTTTAACGAATTCTGTTCAGAAGAGGCAACCGTTGACTCTGGCATCCCACAGGGTACGGTTCTTGGACCCCTTTTGTTTTTAATTTTTATCAATGATATTGTGAATGAAGTTCCTGTAAAAATCAAGTTGTATGCAGATGACTGTGTCATATATTCTGAAATATCCAATGTAACCGATCAAATTATTCTGAATAGTGCCTTTTATAACATTGTGAAGTGGTGTGATTTATGGCAGATGTCAATTAACTTCGATAAAACAGTATTTATGCGAATAACTCACAAGAAAAAACCCTTACTATTTATTTATTCCACCGCAAGTTTCACCCTTTCTGAGGTAACTAACATTAAGTATCTTGGCCTTTGGATTACCAATGACCTTAGCTGGACTAAACATATTGACTCCGTAATTACAAACGCCAACCGAAAACTATTCTTCCTTCGAAGAGCTCTAAAACATTCTAATTCCACGGTGCGTACTCTAGCGTACAGGACTATCATTCGCCCAGTGTTAGAATATGGAGTGATTGTTTGGGACCCCTTCACTAAAGCTAACATAACTAAATTGGAAAACGTGCAGAATAAGGCAGTCCGCTTTATCTTTAATAGCTTTGGACGCACCTCTATAACTGAACTCCTACATCGTGCCAATGAGCTTTCAGTTACTGAAAGAAATCGTTTAATACGACTACAATTTCTTCACCAAATAATTAAAGGGCATTATAAGCTTGATGTTTTCAATATCATTTCCTTTTCTTCTGGGTACGCCACCCGCCAAAGGCATCAACTTACAATAACCCCTTTCCGGCCCCGAAATAACTGCTTCAAATATTCCTTTTTTCCTCGTACAGTAACTCAGTGGAATTGACTAACTAATAACCAAGTGATGGAGCCGTCCTTAAAGTTGTTTGCAGCAAATTTGACCTGATTGTTCACATCATGCTGTTCTATTTTTTGTTTGTTTGTTTGTTTGTTTGATTTATGCATTCTTGAGTGCCAACATTGTGAAAATTATATCTGTAACCACCCTGCTAAAATCTCTGTAATAGGGATTGCAGTATGAATAAATAAATAAATAAAAATAAATAAATAATGCAGTAAAAGCTTATTAATTTTTTGAGCTGATGCCTTAGTCCGGACACAGCTCTGTGTATTTCTGTGGGCGGACACCCTGATAGTTCGAATGCGTTGCTCTTTGCAATGATTCATTTAAACTTGGAGCTTTCATCGCTCCTCTAGGGAGTCAGAATTGAGGGGTCATAATGTGTTGCAAAACCAAATCAAACCAAATTTACAGGGGAAGCAAAACAACAATACAGCAGCATTTCTCCGCACGTGAAAGTTCGGACTCTGGGCTGGAACTCTTGCACAATGCTTGTGGTGTCGCTAAAGAATAATAGCGAGGAAATGGAAATTACTGATTACTTTTAATTATGATTGCATTAACACTAAGTAAATAAATGTCTTTTGGGGTATAAATAGCGTCGTATATTTTTCATCAAGGCTTCCTGCTCACATGAAAGTGTTGTTTCTGGCGTATCACTGACTGATCAATCAATTCTCTTTGCTGTTAAAGCTCCTTGACCTTATTTACGAAATCACTTGCACAAACGGGACCTAATGCAGAGTTCATGAAAAGGAGTTCATAGGCGGCTTCTTTGTGTTCTGCTCGCGCTGTGGGGTGGAGTGTTAGTACAGTCTCGTGCCCGCCCACTAATTCAAACTTTGCTTAAGTCAAACAGCTTTACAGTTTCCTTTGAGTTAACAAGCACGAACATTTACTGTATGTGGGCCTGCTGCAGGTTTTCCACGTGGGATCATATTGGAAAGCAGGCAAGATGTGCATTACGAGCTGTGTTCGAGAAACGTGGAAGCTGGCACCAGTTGATCGTGAAGAGCCACTTTACATCACACTTGCCCTCGTCCAAAGGCAGGGGATTTTAGTCATTGCTACAGGTGAGTGCGAAGTCAAATGCCACGTTTTCTGACAGGCTTGAAACTGCGGACGCCTTCGCCACAACATGTACAAACCCCATAGAAATAAGTGTGTAAAAACATTTGAAATTTCTGATGTCGAAACTCTTCTGTGTCAGATTTCTCAGACTTTCTGCCCAAGCTACACATCTAAAACAGGTATGATTGAAGCCCCCCACTGCTGTTGAGTCTGTCATCTCGTAGGTTCACATGACTATTTTTGCAAGTTGATATGTTTGAAATTCTAGCAGTACCTGAAAGTGAGCTTTTCCGCAGTTGCTATGTCAGGAAGTGGATCGAAAATCTGAAGGAGCTTTTATTGTGGCACAGTGTGACTGTCGAGTTTATCATCTCGTAGGTTCAAATGAGCATTTTTGCATGTGGATATGTTTGAAACCGTAGCAGTACCTGAAAGTCAGCTTTTCTGTAGTTTCAAAATGCTATGGCATGAAGTGGATTGAAAATCTGAAGGAGCCTTCATCGTGGCACAGTATGGCGGCGCTGACATGCGGTGACGTCGGGTTGTTAGATGCACCAGTACCACTTAACCACTGACAACCCTTTATGATAAGCGTGTTCAGTTAACTTCTCGGTAATGCATCTGGCATAGTGCAGTAGTGTGCGTACGGCACTTCGTTAGTAAGCGATAACCCACACGCGCCGTGCCGCCATTCATGCTGCTTCTTTGTGCGAGACTGCTAAATGTGCCGCACAGACACATTGCCATCATGAACCAACGCAGCTTGCCTTCACAGTGAATGTGTGTGGTCAGAAACAGAGTGGGTATAGTGAACACTTTCACAACAAATGTGTATATACGGTACAGTAAGCAGTGATGTTCCGTTTAGGGAATTTCCCCTTTTTCTGGGTATTTTTGTCTGTCATTTTGAGCAAAAAGCAGAAAAGGAATCTTGGTAATATTGCAGGGAATTTCAGGAATGGTTAAATCCTCCTATGAAGACCAATTATTAGCGGTCACAGTGCGCCTTCATCTGCTGTAATCGGTTATGGCACTTGTACCACGCAAGCATAGTCTTTGAGATTTGTTTCCGATATTTATGCGGAGCGATTTCTAGTTCACCATTGCTGTTAGACTTGAAGCCTACAATGTGCAGTGTACTAACAGTATATGAATTAATAAAGTCATGCTTTTGTTGTGTGGCAGTGGAGGGGCTAGTCATGATTTCAAAAGTCGCCAGTACATCAGACACATGTAATTATAGTATGTGTGTGCATGGATGGGGGGGGGGAAGAAATTATTACTGTTGTGTAGGGAAATATGCTGAATGTTTACAGGGGGGAAAATCCCCTAAATAGGGAATATTCATGTCTTTCAATGGGAATTCTTTGACGTAGTACGGAACATCACTGACAGCTAGTGCCCTGGCAAGTGCCCTAGCTTACATCAGCTTAGTTGGCAACGTACTGCACACAACTTGAAGCGATCAGTTTGTGTGGCTGCAAATGCTGCATGTTGGCAAAGATTTTGTACAGTAGAGCATCATTTATGATGCACTGCTGTTTCAAACTGTCCAGTGCAGAGCAAAAAAACGAAGACAGCGCCAGTCTATGTCCAGGCGTCTACCAAATTGGAAAAGTCAGGGAATTTGTACCCGCCTAGAAAAGTCTGAGAATTTTCGAACAAAAACCCGGCCTGGTCATGGAAACTGATGACAGTCTGTGTGTTCATTACAAAAATTAACATTACCGTTGATTAGGCTTGCGCAAATAGGGAATTTTAGGTTCGAAGCAAATTCGAAGTGAATAGTGATTTTGATCAAATAATTTCGTATCGAATTCAAATGGTATGTATGACTTATAATGAAAAAAAAAAAGGAATATTTATCATGACCTAACTAACCTGTACAATATTTTTTTTTTTTTGAATTGAAATAGGGGCTCTATGCAAATGCCTTTTTTTTTTCGTTCAAAGGAAGTCGAAACAACCTTCAGTAGTAGTTTCGGTAGGATGAGAGTGATAACCTGTAAGATACTTAACGTTTTAAAATTTATTATACGTGGAGCATATAAGCCGTCATAACAAGCTTAATAAAATGAAGAATTGATTTGAGGATAAAATGTTCCTTTAAAGGGGCCCTGCAACAGTTTTTCTAGTAGCCATGGAGCCAGTAAACATGCTTATTACCTCACATTTACTGCCGCAAAGTTTCTAGAAGTAGTCCAGTACGAGCAGAGTTCCAAAAAATTTGTCGCATGCTGCAATTGGGTTCTCTCTTCTCGTCCCGACGAAATAGCTGGAAGTTAAGCAGAGAGGAATGACAAGGCGAAAGAAAATAGTCACACGCACCTCGTGACCTTGAACTGTTGCTTCTTAGTGTAGACGCGAAATGATACACCTACCAAAGGAATACAAAGTTTACTGATGTTCTGGCACCCGCTGTGGTAGCGTTGTTTACAGTAATAGCCATAAAAAAGGCACAGGGTATTTAAGTACATCTAAGTACGTGACGTGGGCACCGGGACTACATTGCCGTAAGCATCCCATCACTCTTGTTCAGCGTAAATGCATTTGTCTGTATGTGCTGGTATTCCAGCTGCAGTCAGATGCAAGCTTTTCTTTGGCCAAAACACGCGCACTTGACCAGTCAGTTAGTTTGATGGCCGGTAGATTTCACGTGTTTAGCGATGACATATAAGGCCACGTGTGTTTTACTGACGTCATATTCGTGTTGTTAAACCCTTTTCTTGAAATTAGTGCTCTTATCGATCTACTGGTTGTCACAATTGTGGCAGCCTAAAGCATTAATAGGACCGTGGAAATTTTCGCTCGGCAACTTGTACTTCACATTCTCTAAAACCTCTCTCGGCTTCCATGTTGGTAACATTTTGATGTCTGTTGCTTCAACCGTGGCCGCCAGGATGTAGCCCGGGCGCGCCGTTGCTACGGCCATCCCATTTGCATGCAGAGCACGTGATCGGAGAAATTGGAATAACTACTCCCGCCGCCGCACCGCGGCGCGCGCCGCCTAAGGCTCACTTTTTTCCGACGTGGACACGCGCGGAGGGCGAAAGCTTGGCCATCGCTGCCTCTGTGCGACCTGTAATGGGAAATGGCAGCAAACATGTGCCGACTAAAGGCGAAACGTCACTTACTGGCGCAATTAGGCAATTGGCTGTTTAATTCTGACGCATACTTAGGACTGTGGGGAGAGCCACTTTGCCACAAGACCGTTCGCTGATGCCATACATTACGTTTTTTGCTACGCACTGGTAATTTTTTCTCGGCAATGGTTTGTAGCAAAAAACACGCACACAGGATAGACACGAACGCTGGTAGGTCACCTTGCACATTAGAGCTCATCTCTAATCTGTCTGCATTTTTCGTGCTACAAACTGTTCTCAACGCCCAAGGAAAAGGCTTTGATTCGCTGCATTTCTTACTTTGTTCATCTCCCTAGCTGTGTATTGTTCACAAAAAAGAGAACGTGATTTTTGTTAGCAGGTTCGCGCAGTGCCCTATCTTTATTTGGAAATTATCGTATGCATGTTTTAAATATGACATTACATTTTTTATATAAAGATCAAATATTTCTGCCAGTTTTCTTTTGTATTGTTAGTATCTGGCATTTACTTTGCCACTTCAACATAAAACGAAGGAAGATATGAGGTGACCTTAATACAGTGTTCTGGCTAAAGCTGTGCTAAACAGCCTGCAATGCATAAGGTTTTTGACATTATGTATGAAATTGAGGTGGACGTAGTAACAACGTTTGCTTAGGGTGGCTAGAATGGGAAGGTGTGAAAAGCGGCCGCCGAAACCGGTCCCCAAAGCGCACCGATGCCTCTTGGGGCGCTGCATGCAGCGGCTCAGGTAACCTTGCGGAGGAGACAAACGAGATGGCACGTGCTGCTCTCCACAAAGTTGCTCTCACGCTGTGTGATGGTGACCCAGTTTAGGTAAAATCGTTTTGATCGAGCAAGTGTAAGGGCAGTACATGGCACCCAAGCGCTTTAAAGTCTACTCTCTGAAAACCATTCTTGAAAAGGCCTTACGAGCAAGACTTGATGTCAACTTTCGTGGACTTAAAGGCCAACTCCGGCGATTTTTCGACCTAGTTAAGGTAATGGTGTTTCTATGTTCCTGAGATACTCTTGTCACAAGACCAATTGCTGAAATTCTCAGGAAATTCGCAAATGATTTTAATGAGCAAAAAGGTGCGAAACTGAAACCCGACCGGGTGCCCTTTCTGCGTATGACGTACTATTTGGTAAGAACCGGAGGCCGTATGCTGGTCCTGCCAGCACGTAGGAGGAAAATTGTGAAAGCCAGACGAGTGAAGCGCCGGCCTAACACCACTCGGAAAGGAAGAAAGCTTCCTCCTGCAATACCCGTGCCACACACCTCCGCCGTCCCCTTGTGGCCACCACAATGAACGCTAGCGGCCAAAGTAGCGTTGGCATCAGCTGCGTCACTTCCGTTGACAGTGCTGCCAATAATTCTGGTAAGCGAAGTGAGCTTTGTGAGGAAATCTTTGAGATTAATTTGCAAACAATCAGCGCACATATCAAGCCTATAAATTGGTATAAATGACGGAAATGTGGAAAGCAACGTACCCAGCGAATTTCATTGAGGTCCATTGACCTCGAAAAATTGCCGGAGTTGGCCTGTAATAATATTGCGGTTATTCGCGGCGGAGCTGCTGCAGGTGCACCGAGAGATGTTATAATCACTGCAAGGCTTCATATTGATTTGAACACACTAAATTCATTCAACCACGAGTGGAAACTGGTATCAGAGCCCAGTTTTGCTGTTCCGAACGCATATTCTTCCACAAGCCGCAACTTAAATGCTCACTTAGCGTTCATTATCGGCCACCGAATGTAACAGTTTCAGTGACGTGCTTATAACGCATCTGAAATAGAAGCAAACGCGCCAACGCGGTTGATGTCGTGACTGGAATGGCTGAAATCGCACGCTAGACAAGGCAGACGAGCGCCGCTCGATCCTTGGGGAAAGATTG